AACTTCCTCAAAGAAAGCCCTCCGGAGAGCTAAGATTCAGCATGTCTACATGTACCTGCTCGCCGTTACGTCGGGCAGCGCGTTCCGCTTGGGAGTCTGAGAGAACAGCACTCCTAAAGTGACGGTCGTAGGTTGTAGTATGCGCACGTACGACACCCACAACTGACTAACATCACCTCTAGCAGTGTGGATGATTGGTGTGCACAAGACGAAGGAATACCTTCTCTCTGACCTTGAGTTAAATCTTGGAAGTTTACAATTTGTAGGATTTTCATTAGAGATCAACCAATATATCAGTTGCCAATGTAAATAGGCTGATATGGGCATGTTGACAAGTATTCATGTCAGCACTTTGAAGCCTTCAGATATTTGCTGATATCAGAAGTAGAGTTCTGTTCAATCTATATGGTAAAATAAAATATGACTAGGACTATCTTTTCTGTGCCCATATGGAAACCATGAAGTGTGTGATATAGCCAATATGGCATCATCCAAGAAGCGAGGAATCATGGATCTTTTGCTTTGCTCATGTTCCTGGTCTGGCATGTAGAGGCAGACCTCTCTGAGGCTTAGGTTTGGCCTGTATTGAAGCCTGACTTCATTGTGAGTTCATCAAGGTGAATTTGATATAAAATCAAGCTGTCCTGTTGAATATTCAATATGGTTTTGTTTATGCTGAAACATTGGCCAATATTGTATCTGCTTCATATATTGTCCAATATCTGAATTAGTAAAGTTAGTCAAATCCAATATTGGTCGATTTCTAGTTATTATATTAGTCTATTTCAGGGTAAGCCATATCCTGTTGGATTCCTTCATCATTATGCTTTATTTTTTTACAGTTGAATCCACAAGTTCAGCAAAAGTTCACTGCTTAGCAGTGAAACAAAACTGCTGGCATGAATGAAGCTGTGGCTATCTCTCATTGCTTGAATAACAAAGGTCATCTCTCACCTCTCTTCTGATCATGATTAAATCTTGATATTCCTTTGCAAAAGGATCCAGTTTTGGGTTTTGGACTTGAAAGATGGAAGGTAAGAATGAATTATTAAATCTTGTCCTCAGATATTACCTTCTCTCAGTCTGAGGTGGTGGTTGGTCTTAGTCCATCTTGGTACTGATTTCTTTAAGATCTTTTTTCTCTTTTAGAAGTGTCAGAAAGACTTTGCAGCATCTTTTAATGCCAAATGCCTTACTTTCACTTTCCAACTTCTGAGGTGGGAGGGTAGTTTTAAGAATTGTATTTACACACTCAGGTCCATATAAACCAAGAAAACCTAGCATTTGAAGATATTTTATATGAATACTTGACATAAAAAACAGTTGATCCATCGGTCATGAGAGATACTGTTGTTTTTTTCCTATCAACCTTTTTGACTCTGATCTATGCTGACAAAGCTGTTTGGAAGGATAGGTTAAACAAATATTCAAAGTCAGTTTTAAAATCTGATTCTTTTATTTAGTATCATGATTAGTATACAGTGGTTCCTTGGCCTCTCCTAGAGAAGTAGGCATTGAGTAGCCTGTCAATCGATCTGGTAGGAAAATGATTTCAATCACCAATAAATACTTTTAATACATTTAATGTGTGAAATGATAATGCAGGAAAGTTATTGGAATTGGAACTGAATGTCTGGTTCAGGCATGTGCTAAGGGTAATACAATAGAGAAAATTTCCTCCATTTTCGTATCTGTGTTGCAGGTGACATTCAGAATTGGTGGGAAGTCCCTTGCATTGCACATTTCTGCTCACTCTTCAGAGTTGCATTTGAGCTGCTGGACTTTGACATAGAGGTATTCCTTTGTTCCATATACTTTCCCATTTTGTGCCAGAGATCTGTGGGCATATAAGAACAGAATATCCCTCTGTAGGGGAATCCTGCTTAATGCCTGGCCACACAACTGAGTCTGTGAGCCAAAACAGTATTGGAGGCTTCTGTGTAATATGCATTAAGGAATAACCTTTTTGTTGGTATGCACAAGAAGGATATGATGAAGCTGGTTGATGCTTGGTGACCTTGACCTTTGTCTCCTGTAAATCATTATTTTTTCATTTACTACCAGAGTCTGAGCTGGTTATCAACCACTTTTACTCTTAATTTTCACCTCAAGAAAGTGGGAAATCAGGGAAGAAAGACAATATCTTGAACAGGTTCATTCACTTTGTCTTTTTTGTTGTAAAGTTTAGTCAAATTTTTCCCCTTAATCCTTCACTGCAGGAACACTACAAGGATTTTCAGTTTCATTAACAATTGTGTAAGGAAAGATTTGTCCCACTAACTATACTGCCTGTGCCTTGAAAAAGGGACTAATTTGGCAGGATCCATATTATAGTAATGGCCTACAACATTCCACAGTGGAATTGAATGCAAAACCCAATGGTGGAATATGTTTACCATGTGATCATCTGCCTACAGAACAGGCTGCTGTGTGTAGAGTATGATTTTCTGTGGATGGCCAACTTCAGTAGTTTGCTGTCAAACAGTATCTAAAACTGTATTGCATGAACAAATCGTAATAAGTTTTGATTTATAATTACTTGCATAAGACTAATCTTCCTGCTTTTGCTTAGTTGTGATGCAGAAAGGGAAAAGAGTCAATGATTTGCTCTGCAAGTGGGGGGAAGGGGTTGACTTGATTAACATAGGCTGATCATATTGGTGTACTTTACACCGCTATGATCAGTGGTGAAAACCCTTAATAAAAGCAGAAATGTAGCTTGATCAATGTGCTGAAGTCCCCACCTTTAAGTAAGATGTTTCATGAGACTGAATGAAGAGTATTTGCCCATAGGCAAGTGGGAGCATAGGAGGCATGCTATCTTGTTTGTGTTTACCTTTATGACTTAGCTCAGCTTTGTCTATTGCATTTCTGTAGGATTTGGAGGAAGCTCTTCTAACAGATGGTGTAGACACTGAGGCAGATGGAAGTACCCCACTTGTCCTGCGGGACCTGCTAGTGAGACTCCTACAGGGGATCTTAGGGAAGAAGAATGTGTCCTCTAAGAACTACCTCACACCTGTGAGGCAGCTCTGTTCCAAGAAATGGCATGAAGTATGAAAATTCATTTCCATTGTGAATTATTTAAATATTCCAACATGTTTAATGTGAAAAAATAATTCTTTGTTTCTTGTTAGGTGAAAAAGGATGTAAAGAATCCTTTTCTGGAGGAGTCAAATTTTCACAACTTGAGCCTGAAAGAGAAAGTTCAAGTTTTGCATGCTCTATGTGACATACGTTTGGATGCTGAAGATGTTCCTGAAGTTCTCAAGGTAAATTGAATTTATTTTGTGAAATATACTTGTCTACTTCCAAATTTTGTTCACCCTCCATATAACTTCATGTGACCACTTTCAATGCTACTCCTGCTTTAATTTATACTGCATTTCGTTTGGCAGAATCTGGAAGCAGATAGTCTGCGTGTTGAACCCCTTGGGCAGGATGAGCAAGGCTCCATGTACTGGTATTTTTATGGAACTAGGCTATACAAGGAGGATCTTTCTCCCAAACAGGTGAGCTGGGGAAGGAACCATAGGCATATGATCTAAATTTGTTATTGTTTTCATGTTACAAGGGTTTAGGCACCAATCCATTTTGTTGCCATGGTCAGTGGGTCTATAAATGGACTAAGTGCATGCCTTAAAACAAGATCTCTTATATGATAGCAGTGCAAGTCTTTAATTGTTTGAATATTTTTGCATTAATCATGAAGCAAGCTTAATTTAAACTTAAAATTTTAGAGCTTTTATGGTCCTCCTGGATGAAGGGGCATTGGAAGGTGAATGTGAGTTCCTTTCCCCCTGTGTTTCCTAGGAAGTTTTTCTGGAGAAGCAGAAGGAAGAGAAGAAAGGCAAGAAAGAAAGGAAAGGGAAGACTGGTGACAAAAAAGACATGAAACCAGGCCCTCTGTGGAATGTAGTATGTTTCACACAAGAGGACTGGGAGAATCTGGCAGGAGACCTGGAGAACTCCTCAAGCAAAGGGGAGAGAGCCCTGTATCGGACTTTGAAAGAGGACTTTCTTCCTGAGATTCCTCGCCTTTTTGATGAGAAAGACAGGTTACAAAGAAAGAGAATCCAGGAGCTCATGCCCAGGCGCACCTCTACTCGACTGCGATCAACCGAAGAGAAGCGGCAGAAGCAGGACGAAACCCAGAATGACTATACTTCCAGCCTGTGAGCCCTATTTGATACCCATACCAGTACTTCTTTCATTGGTGGTAATTAGTATGAAAAACTTTGTGTAAGGTTCTTTCAATGTTTTTGAGATGAAGACCAGACAAAATGAATCAGATGTTCAGGGTTTATTTTAGGGACCAAAAACTAAGAGATGCTGAAAATAAATGAAATTTCAGACCAGTAATAATTTTATTCCATGGACTAAGACCAAAGAAAAGAACAACTTGAGAACTCCTGGGGGTTGTGTACATGATGAAGAATGGCATATATTTTGTATTTGTACTGATTTAGTATTTAACAGAAGAGTAACTTATGAAAAAATGCAATGGTAATGAGATCAAGCATATTTTACAGAGGTTGTTGCTACAATTACTTGTATGGATGGGCTCTTACCCCTGCCAGTGTCCCACCTCCACATGCCAACTAAAAATGATAGGCAAAAACCATTGTTACCACATTTGGTCCTTGTTTACAGAATAATATAGATGGGTTGATAAAATGCATGGGTATTTTTTTCTGGGTTCATTCAGACTCAATTTTGTTCATCTTTTCTGCTATCCAACATATGATCCAACATATGAAGCTGACTCTGACACCACCACCACCTCCTATTTTGCATTAGTGAATCTTATATATTTGTATAATTTATCATGTATTATTTATTTACAATGAAACATATCCACAATGAACCCAATGGTTTTTGCCTATAATGTCTGATTTGGCCTTTGGGGATGGGGGAATGTTTTGATCCATGCTTTATCTTGTCACTGTGACTTGTTTCTAATCAGTGTTGCTTCATAAGATATAGGCTTATTTTCTTGCCCAGCCTGTTAGAATAGTGTCAGCGGAGGTAGCATAATGTTTGTGCTTGTACTTTGATGCTCTCAGAAGGCCTTTAATTTTGACTTGGAATTCTTAATGTGCTTTCTCACCACTTGAAAATTCTTCAGTGCAATATCTGATGCTGTTCCATAGGAAGAAGAAGGCAATTCCAAGAAAACGCTCCAAGGAAAGCAAGAGCCCTGATGAAATCAGCATCAATAGCTGTGATTCTTTTCAGAACAACCAAAATATTCCACTTCCATCTGATGAGGATAACGATAGTTGGGCAAAGGAGGACAAAGAGGAGTTAGAAGAGAAGAAGGTGGAGAAGAAACAGTTGGATCCTTCTCCCTTAAAAGCTAAAGGAAAGAAGAAGATCAAGAGCAGTCATCTGTATGCTATGCTTCAATTATCTAATCTATGGTGTCCATAATAAAATCTCTGAAATTTAAAATATTTTTTAATTGGTGCAGGTTCAATCAGAGCACGGAGGACCTCCGTGTTGGAATGTTCAAGGTCCTGGATTACTTGGAAAACCTGGAAGACTCGTGGCCATTTTTGGAACCTGTCCAAGAAGAATATGCTCCAAATTACTACAAGAGGATCTCCAAACCAATGGACCTGCAGACAATGGAGGAGAAGCTTGAGCAGGGAGGGTATCTCAGCTATGATGAATTTGAAGCTGATTTCCATCTCATTATCTCCAATTGCAGGAAATATAATGGGGCCACTAGTGGTGAGCATATTCTACTTTTAAAGCCCCTTAGACCCATTCATGATGAGATTTTATATTTTTGTGAGGGGGGAGGGTTGCTCATGAGGGAGCATAATCAAATAAGTCCCTAGATTTTTAAACTGTAGTAATGCAACTGAGGCAACAATTGATTTAAGGGACTGAAAGCTTAGTGCTGTATCAATTATTATTTTAATAATGACAGCTTTTACTGCCATCAGCAATCAATGGAATAAATATAGAAAGCTGATAATTCCAGACTCATAAACTTCCATAGAACTTGATCTAAGGAAGTTCATCTCTAACTGGATAACAATAGGATCCATTTTCAGCCATTTTTATTTAATGAGAAAATTTTCATAAATAAATGAATGCTTGTATTGTACATTCATCAGATGCACAAAGATTGAGACTTCATTTGGTGTTAATGGAGATTTACTGACCTGTTGGGAAGCAATATCAGAATTGCCCCCATCAGTTCCAGTTGCTTGGCACATTGTGCAAATGTCTTCATGCAAGTTTTATACATGGTGTTTAAAAAAAAAACTGTGCCAAATCATTTTCGCTATTAATGACAGTAAATTTGATCAGATCAAGTTAATTTTTTAAATACTGCATGTAGATAGATGAAAGAAGGTATGTGCCAAATTTTTTAGAAAATTGACCCATTGTATCATGTTCTATGGCATTTCAAACTTGACATGTAAAAAAGTGTGCCGTACATGCTCAAAAAAATGTGCCAATGTGTTTTTTTTAATTATCAGAATGTTAGTCAATTTCATCTGATGGCCCAATATTTCACAAACTGCATGTGAATAGATGAAAGAAGGCTTTTGCAAATTTTTAACAATATTGACCGAATGTATCACGTGATACAGTGATTAAAACTTCAAGGCTGAGAAAATGCACAGGACATACCCACTGATGCGTTCGTCTCAGCTATGCAGCAAGTGAGTGTCTGCGTGCCATCCAGAACAGCAAAAGAAGGTTTGCTTCACTGGCTTAGACAAACGCATCAGTGTGTATGCTTGCTGGATTTTCTCAGCCTTGAAGTTTTAATCGGTGTATCATGTGATACATTCGGTCAATATTGTTAAAAATTTGCAAAAGCCAACATGTCAAGTTTGAAATGCCATAGAACATGATACAATGGGTCAATTTTCTTGAAATTTTGCATATACCTTCTTTCATCTATCTATATACAGTATTTAAAAAATTAACTTGATCTGATCAAATTTATTGTCATTAATCGCAAAAATGATCTGGAACAGTTTTTTTTTAACACCATGTAGACAAGAACCAGAAAATCCATCAGCTCAATCATGAATGCAGATGACCAAAAGATTAGAGATTTTAAGTGTTAGTTTATCATGTGGACATATATTTTTCATTGCTGCTCTATTGTGTTTGAGTATTGAGCATACCAAAGGTGATTTATGGAGAGCATGCAAATTTATCATTGTCATTTATCATTTATCAACATGTTTATCATTGAGAAATGCTTGACCTACTTAAAAATGACTAGGGAAAATTGTGCGAGCCATATGGTGTCCATTGCAAGTTGCTTTTTGAGCAAAATGTAGTGAATGACAAAGCTGTCATCTCATTCCAGAGTATTCTGAGATGGCTGATGAGCTACAGAGGAATTTTGAGAAAGCAGTTAAGAAGTACCTGGAGGTGACATCTTCATCAGATGAGGATATTGTGATAGAGAACTTTGATGAGCCTCAGTCTCACAAGACACAGCAAAGTGGTACTAAGGCCAAGACCAAGAAGAAGAAAAAGAAGAAGTCTATTGTGGAAGAGGAGAAGGAGAATGTTGAAAAGAATAGCAAGGAGAAGAAAAGGAAGAAAAAGGAGAAGGATGAAGGGCTTGGGAAGAAAGATGGGAAAAAGAAGAAAAGAGCACGAAAGGAAGAGAGGGGTGAAAATGATGTGGGGAATGATAGTGAGGAAGAAATGGAAAAGGGGGGTGTTGAGAAGAAGAAGGGAAAGAAACGGAAGTATGAAGATGACATTGAAGATGAAATTCATCCTCACAAGAAGGCCTCAAAACGTAGAAAGAGGGAGACAGATGAAGATGAGGAATCTGAAGAAGAGGTTAAGAAAACAAGATCATCCACTGGAAATTTACGTCAAGCTCGGCAACATCCAAGCAATCCATCAAGTGGGGAAGACTCGGATAGAGACAGAAAAACAAAGAAGAAGGAGAAAAAGAAGAGAAAAGACAGTGTGGAGGAGGAACAGGAACAGAAGCCCAAACCAAAGAAGCCTGGGTATATCAAGAACAAGAAAGCGATTGATGCTCTGGCTGCTGCCACAGAAGAAACTCTTAAAGTCAGTCTATCTTTATTCTTTCTACTATTTTAAAATTATATCTGGAGACCATTATTCACATTAAGTATCCTGGGGATCCTTCAGCTCATTAATCATGAAAGTTCCATGTGAAGGGAGGGGAGAGTTTAGATGAAGGTTACCATCATGTGGACATTAGATAATATTCTAATATTATGTTCTCTCAAGTTAATGGACCTAACTGAAATCAATTCGATTTATTCTGTGAACATAATCTACCAAAAATGAATAAGAACCCAGAATGATACCAGTACAGTGATGTTCACATGCTAAACACACTATGAACTTAGATGCATGCAAGATCTCTGGACTATGGGCAGCATAAGAGGCAAAGAACACACTTTTCTTAGCAAACAAGATGGAACCCTTCTATCTTTTTTTTAACCCTTCAGGCAGTTTTCACATACACCACATGATCATTACTTAGGTGGTCAGTTCACCACTCAGCACTTGAAGGGTTAATCACCTTATATTCACCCCTGCTGGAGTCTTTGAATGATGTGTACTGGATCAAAGAAGACAAAACTTTTCAAGTATTTAGAAACTGCTGCAATCAGAGCATGTAATTCCAAGAAAAAAGTGGGAAGAGAAAGGCACTTACAGAAGGTGCTCTTTTGGTTATTATGCTTTGAATGGAACTGGGGTGGGCAACTGAATATAATAATTGATATAATAACTGAAAATAATATTATTATTTTCAGTTCTATCCTTATAGTGCTGTGGTGACAGCACTGTCACAAAAACAGAATCTTCTGACTGCATATTTTGGCATTACAAGGGTTAGGTCTTGATATTTTGGAAGAGCAATACAAGATTGAGGAGGTCTCCAATCACATGATCATGATGACAAAGAAGACATCACAAGGAACACAATATCCCGATATTGACTGCATCACACCCCTTGGGAGCTGCCTAGCACAGAATGATTAAATGCCACCCAGTATTCATTGCAAGCCAGTCTAGAAAAGGAAAAGACATAGGGTCGTATTTTCAAAGGGCTATGAAGACTTAGTAGTAGTAGCCCTTTGAAAATACGTAGTAAGGTCAAAAAGTTTCAGGCCCAAGGATATAAAAGATGTGATAAAATTAAACAACCATTTTTATTTTTCAATATAATCTCCCTTTATTTCAATACATTTTTTAGAACGATGAATTAATTTTTCTATTCCACTAAAAAAATATTCTGAATTTTTGTCCTCAAAATGGTTCAAGACTGCAGAGATCACTTCTTCATCACTGGCAAATTTTTTTCCACGCAAATCAGACTTCAATTTTGAAAATAAAAAATAGTCACTAGGGGCTAGGTCGGGGCTGTAGGGTGGGTGATTTAGTTCTTCGAAACCACAGTGCTGAATAGCAGCCTTTGCAGCAACAGAAGTGTGCACCGGCGAATTGTCGTGCAATAACCTCACTCCTCGTGAGAGCCTTCCTCGGCGTTTTTCTTTGATGGCATTCTTCAATTTATACATTAATGATGCATAATATTCGCCAGTGACCGTAGTGTTTCTCTCTTTGAAGTCAACTA